AATATGTGGGCTACCATGAGCATGGATCTGGTTGGCATTGGAGTCAGCAATACTGGTTATTGTATTAGTTTTTACCTTGTTTAGGATCGGTTTTATATGGAGTATGAAATCCTTGTTTAGGATCAGTTTCATGGAGTAAATTCAGATGGAATGGAGCCGAGAATCCGGTCCTTGTCCTCTAGACATTAGTGGGAAAGCTACTGCTCATGTCAGAGGTAGAAAATTTAGGCCTGTATCCACTAAAATCCAACTTTAGGTCAGCTTAGTAGAAATGTTTCTATTACAGAAGGTCCTGCAAACTCAGGTGGCTCCCAGCAGATTCTGAGAGCTCCCAGATACTGTGAAGGACAGTGGAACCCAGGCTACTGTGGAGGGGGTGCCACGTGCTCTGTATGTAAATGCATGAGATGGAGATGGTTCAGCCACACAGAGGTTGGCAAGATACAGCCAACTATTGTGTCTGCAAGACCTCACCAAAGTCAGCCAGAGCAAACTGCTCCTCCCATCCCCTCTTTGCCTTAGGCTGTTTCCCAGCTGAGCAGCACCACTGCAAAGACAGTGACTGTTCTGCACCTTTTTGCATGCCTAACTTCCGTGAGAGAATCTCCTGAAGAACTTTCAGTCTCTCTTCACTTGTTGCCTGTTTTCTGCTCTCCTCTTCTTCCTCCTTTTTCAGAGCTTTCATCAATCCACTTTTTTCTTTTATTTTAGTGGAGTAAGTAGTTTTCTCATGGACTTTCAAGGTCTTCTTCCTTTCATGTTCCTGTGGGAAGTCAGATACGTGGACAGTCTGATTGTGTGCTTTGTATGCTGTGGTTTTTAAAGTCATGAGTAGCTATTCACAGTCTAGAAATTTGCAGACTGCTGATATTCTGATGATGCATGTTTGCCTGGTTTTTCTGACTAATCCTAGTGATATTCTCTCTTGAGGCAACTGAAAAGCTAAATGCCTTAGCTCTTGTTCTCATTAGTATGTTGATTTGTATTCTGCATCCGTCCACCAGCTGTGCTAATTTGTACCTACTCAGTGTCCTCATTTTTCCTTCCTGGATTATTCCTCTGAGTGAACGGAAATTTTCTGAGATTCATCCTATAAATCCCCTAGTTAAAGGGAACAACAGGACAGCCCACACTTAACCAGTTCAGTCCAATTTTCCCAATGGCACATAAACCACCAAGTTCAGATTGAGAGGATCTTTTCAAACCCACTCTGGACCTTTCTGGAGGACAAAAGGTTGTTCCCGCTCAGTGTTTTCTTATGGAGTGAAGTGTAATTCATTGCTGTCTGCACAGTTTGGCCATGAGTTATGCTGAGGACATCCCTCAGCAGACACCCTTAGTGCACTTCTTTCCGAGTTCTTCCCTGTACTTATATAGTGACCTTCAACCCAAGCAAGAACCAGACTGTATCAGTCATCAGTGTGAGGTGAGGAGGCCTTGCTAAAGCTTGTTTGGATCCCTCCCACTGTGCTTTAGAAACAAAGACCTCTTGCTTCTTTCCACACTACTGCCAGGCTGTGTGACCATGTGCAACAGTCAGACCAGAGAATCACAGAATGACTTGGCTTGGAAGGGACCTTAAAGATAAACTAGTTCCAACCCCCTGCCATGGGCAGGGACACCTTCCACTAGACCAGCTTGCTCAAAGCCCCATCCAACCTGGCCTTGGACACTTCCAGGGATGGTGCAGCCCCAACTTTGAGCAACCTGTTCCAGTGCCTCACTACCCTCTGAGTAAAGAATTTCTTCCTCACATCTAATCTATATCTCTTCTCTTTAGGTTTAAAATAATTCCCCCTGGTTCTTTCACTATCTGTTTCTGTAAAAAGTTGCTGTTCTTTTTTTGATAAGCACCCTCTGAGTACTGAAAGACTGCAATCAGGTCTCCCAGAGCCTTTTCCTCTCTGGGCTGAACATCCCCAGGTTTCTCATGAAGTGATCTTTTGATCTCTCATGCACTAAAATTTGGTATTCATTGGTTGGTTGCCTGCCCTAGTAAGTGCTTGTTAAATACATTGGCCTAGAGCATGTATACACACCGCCTTTGCCTTTTTGATTTCCTTGTCCCTTAGTGCAAAAATATCAGCATCTGATGGGATTGTAAACGGATTTTTCGTTGGGTTTTCTTCATCCTCGTCAGAGCTTTCTGCAAAAAAACAAATGGATGAGGATGTAGAAGACGTGAAGCAGAATATCAGGACTCAGTGCAAAGGGAGTGTGATCTGCTGCATCACGCCCGGAGGGTGGGCAGCTGTGCTCCCAGCTGCAGGTGACTAATGGTGCTGGAGGAGGGAGCCGGATAGGGCTTATGAGAATCCACTGATATAACTGAGACCTCTGTATGGTTTATGTCACTTGACCATATCTAATGATCAGTTGAGGATTTCAGACAGGGATTTTTGTAGGTCTGCAGCTGTTTTACCCACCTCATCTGTTTGTGGGCAGAAGAATTTGACTACAGGCCTCTCCTTTGACTGAACAAGGGAAGGCTGCTGGAGCATTGTGTCCTTACCTGACAGCACAAGGCAGGTTTCCATTGCAGGGCTGGAAGAGAGACTTTTAGATGTTGATGCTGTCTGTTGAGATGCTGTCCTTGACCCTGGCCCAAAGAAAACCATAAACAAGTCAATCAGTTGGGACCTGCCAGTAACTGATGTGGTAAGTTTTACAGCAGTGGTAGGCCTAGGGGCTTTCTGGATCTTAACCACTGAGCCTTTAATGTCTGTAGGAATTAACAAAAAGCTTCATTAAACTGCAAAACATTTGTGCTCTGACCCCCAACGGAGATGCTCATCCCTGGCTTATGTGAAAGTTGGGTAAAACACAGTCTTCCTTACACACACACTGAAGGGAAATGAATGACAAAACACTTTGGAGGTAACAAGCAACCCAAGTACCTCGTCTCTTTTTCCACCCAGTCACCAGTTCAGACCCGCACCCATGCTTTTCCATTCTCCTGTCACTAGTTCACAAGCTACGTTTTTTACTCCTTAAAGCTCTTACCAGGAATTGTTTCAGCATCGTGGATTTCTTGCGATGAGGCGGAATGATTGTTGGACAGCACAGACATGTTGTATGAACTCCGTTGTGTTTCCTTTTAGGTTGGCAAATTGGTGAAGGTTAGTTTTTTGTTCTCTGACTCCAGTCTCTTTTGTAGTTTTGCTATGGGTCCTAAGGGAAAAGGCATAATTGAAATGATCTCATTTGCAAAGCACAGATAGACCATTGTTAAAGTTATCCTTTAATCACCAAAGGCAGCAAACTGGGCCCAGTGAGGTATTAGTTCAATTGATGCAATTCTGCTGCTGGCACCATTCCTGATCTGCACTGATATAAGAACTGTAGAAAATATCTTCTTCCTCTTGCACTAGTTTTAAGGCTATTTTAAAACATCAGTTTTTGCTCTGAACAGCCTCCAGTTTTTATGTATATTGAGCTAAACTCATCTGGCCTAATTTCCGTGTACGTCCTTGGTGCTTTGTGTTTCCTATTGGCTGTGTTTCTGCAGCTGCCCAATTAGTATCCAATTCTTTGGAGGTGTCAAACTTTCACTGCTGGTGAGACACAGAGGCTGAGATAGAATTTAGGCTGCTTGAATATATCCCAAATGTTTTCTCTCTCCTTTTCAGTTCTTGAAGTACCTTTTCCAAAAGCCTCCTTGACTGGTTACTCAGATTTCAAGTCTCTCTGAACTTTGCTTAATGTGAGGGGATATTTTTCTCTGGGGGTCTCCCATCTACATCCTGGAACAACATCACCCCTGCTGATGATGTGAGTTTTGGAGAAAGCCCCACCAGGGCAGGGGTGGGAAGGCAGACAAACACCTGAGGCATTCGGTCGAATAGAGTTTGTGAAACCTGCAGAGCAGTTGCAGCAAACACCTGGAGGCTCCGCCCTCAGCGCACACCTTGATTTCTCTGATCTGAAACCCTTCTCATAAAAATTTTCTTGTTCCTGTGGTTGATTTAATTTCCTGCTACAGGGAATAGGACTGAAAAGCAGGATTAGACAGAGGATACTGGCATATGGCAAATAATTATCAGTGCAATCCTCAAAGATAAAAAGTGCTTTATAATATAATTTTAGCTAAATGAAGGAAACTGTTTTTAAGATTAACTTATAAATATTAATTTTATTAAGGTACTTTTAGTCTGAGGTTGTTTTGGTTTTTAATAGGTTTTTTTGCACATCACTTTGGAAATAATGCCAAAAGCTACAGAAGCACTAGCTGTGCTAAATATAATTATTAAGCTCAATAATGCAAATAAAAATGATTTATTGCTAGAATCATTTGGCATATATTAGTTCCTCTGACATTTTTATGTTCCAGTAGCTACATACCAGTGGCCAGTAGCATGGGAATCAATAGATAAGGCATTCATGGTTTTAATATACCAAAACCTTTATTCAGTGTTTTTCCCTTGCATCAAGCTGCTGTGCA